CGGTAGGTGTGCAGTGACAGGCACGCAGTAGGTGTGGAGTCACCCGGGAGATGTCGGTGTGCAGTGACGGGCACACGGTAGGTGTGCAGTGACAGGCACACAGTAGGTGTGGAGTCACCCAGGAGATGTCAATGTGGAGTGATGGGCACGCAGTAGGTGTGGAGTCACCCGGGAGATGTTGGTGTGCGGTGACAGGCACGCAGTAGGTGTGCAGTGACAGGCACATAGTAGGTGTGCAGTGACAGGCACACAGTAGGTGTGGAGTCACCCAGGAGATGTTGGTGTGCGGTGACAGGCACACAGTAGATGTGCAGTGACGGGCACACAGTAGGTGTGGAGTCACCCAGGAGATGTCGGTGTGCAGTGACAGGCACGCAGTAGGTGTGCAGTAATGGGCACACAGTAGGTGTGGAGTCACCCAGGAGATGTCGGTGTGCGGTGACAGGCACGCAGGTGTGCAGTGATGGGCACACAGTAGGTGTGGAGTCACCTGGAAGATGTCAGTGTGGAGTGACAGGTGCACAGTAGGTGTGCAGTGACAGGCGCACAGTAGGTGTGCAATTCCCGGGAGACGTGGACCAGCCTGGGCCCTGGTGGGAGCTGCAGGGGAGGGATCCCAGGGACAGCCAGGTCCAGGCTGCCAAGAGCCTCTTCCTCCTGTGCCCACCTGTGACCCCTGCCCAGGGACGCTGTACCGCTACACGCTGCTGCTCTACGGGACGGCGGAGGACATGACAGCCAGGCCTCCAGGCCCCCAGGTGACCGGCAGCTTGTGTGTGCGGCGGGACACGGAGGGGCTGTGCCAGGGTGAGTGCCGGCACGGCAGGGCCCACGGCTGGGAGGTCAGGCGGCCACCGCGGGCACTGTGCCTGTGGCCCCAGGAGGGCAGATGGCGGGCAAAAGGCCTCGGGTGGCAAGCTCACGGCTTCCATGGCCGTATCCCCGAGCAGCATGTGGCGACCCCACCTACATCCTGGGACAGCTCTGTCTGGCCTCCTGCCCCCCGCGCTTCTTCAACCACACAAGGCTGGTGACCGCCAGGCCCGGTCACCCGGCGGCACCTGCGCTGAGGGTCTGTTCCAGCTGCCACGCCTCCTGCTACACCTGCCGTGGCAGCTCCCCGAGGGACTGCACCTCCTGTCCCCCATCTTACACACTGGACCAGCATCAGGGCTCCTGCTTGGGGCCCACCACCCCCGACAACCACCGCCAGCTTAGAGCTGCCGCCTGCCCCTACCACCGCTGCCCAGCCTCGGCCATGGTGCTGGGCCTCCTGGCCGTGACCCTCGGGGGTCCCGTCCTCTGCGGCGTGTCCACAGACTGCCCACCATAGGCCTGGCTTGTGCCAGGGCCAACCCCAACAACCCCCAGGTCTGGCTGCCAGCTGGAATCCGAAGTCATCAGCTCAGAAAGTGACACTTCCCTGGCCTGGGTCCCTGGCAGGCACTGCTGCCCTGCCACCTCCACAGGCCGGCCCCAGAGGAGCAAGCACCAGCCCCCGACGCCCGGCTTGCCAGGAACCCCGCAGGCTGGGGGGAAGAGAGAGAGAGGTCTCCTATGCCTTTTGGGTTGGGGCAGAGGCTGGACCGTGACCACTGCCCTTTCCGAGCCCCGGAAGCCACGGGAAAGTGGAGGGACAGGAACTGGATGCCGTCCGTCTCAGGCCCGTGTCCAGCCTCAGAGTTTGCAAATAAAGGTTGCATCGAAGGTGCTCGGTCGGTGGTCTCCTCTGCAGCCGGACGGGCCCGAGGCCCCAGGGCTCAGGTGGTTTCTGCTCGGGGGTCCCCGGACGTCAGCCCATGGAGAATGCAGCCGGCCATGGAGAAGGAGTCCGCCCAGGCCCAGGGACCCCAGGCAGCGGGAGCAGTGGGGAGTGGCCACGGGTCGGCAGTGGAGTCCAAGCCCAGAACGTGGGTCACCATGGCCCAGACTCCTCTCCCCACATGGTGGCTTCCACTTTTGTTTGTTTGAGACAGGGTCTCCCTACGGTGACCGGGCTAGAGTACGGTGGCCTGACTGTCGCTCACTGCAGCCTTGGGCTGTGGCCTCAAACAGTCTTCCCTCCCTGGCCTCCCAAAGTGCTGGAGCACCTGGTCCTTCCCTCCCTCCCTCCCTTCCCTTCCCTCCCTCCCTCCATTTCCTTCCCTCCCTCCCTCC